TTCCCCACCAAAAGCAGACTTTGGGGTTGAATTTTTAAAAGTTTTGGGAAAATGTACTGATAGTCCTCAACTTGAGGCCACAACTTAGAAATTTCCATTTCTAAGTAAGACAGTTGTTAAGTGAATTTTGCTCCATTTTTATGATGTTTCTGGGCACAGTTGTTAAGAGAATCACTGTAGTTAAGTTAGTAATATAGTTTTTAAATGAATCTGTCTTCCCCATTGACTTTGCTTGTCAGAAGAGCGCAAAAAAGGATCACATAATCCCAGGACACTTCAACTATCATAAATACATTCCAGTTGCCAGGTGTCCAAATTTTGATCATGTGACCATGGGGATGCTGCAGTGGTTGTAAATGTGAAAACAGTTATAAGTCACTTTTTTCAGTGACCTTGTAATTTCAATTAGTCACTAAATGAATGGTTGTAAATTGAGATCAGAGATCATAAAGAAAGTTGGAAACAGATAATAGTAAATGATAGAGTTTATAAAAATGTTTTGTAAAGTATTGTAAAAAAGAAAATGAAAGAGAAATTTGAGCTTTTATGTAAACAAAATAAACACTTAGTAGCAGAGGTAAAACCCTTTCTTCCATTCTGGGCTCAGTTGTGATCTCAAGTTGAGGACTAATTGTACATTTTCCCAAAACTTTTAAAAATTCAACCCCAAAGTCTGCCTTTGGTGCAAGGGAAATGATTTTTGGGGGAGAAATGGTATTTCAATGTCACTATGCTAGTCAGAGGAAAGGAAGCTTGGAGGTCTTCTAGTCCCCCCTCCCCCTGCTCAAGAAGGAGACCCTGTACCATTTCAGATAACTGTATATCCAGGCTCTTCTTAAAAGCCTCCAATGATGGAGAAGCCACAACTTCTGAACACTAGCTGTTCCATTGATCTCTTTGAGGGAATAGCATGATTCCTTCCTTCCTCTGTGCTTTTTCAAATCCTTCTTATTCTACTTATGCAGAATTATTACTTACAGGAAAACCTAGGGTTTATATTAGAACTTCAGAAAAATAGAATGTTCCTGAACCACCGTTTGTATATCTTTAAGTGTGAGTGCTGGAGGTGGGGGGGAGGGTGGTGGAGTCTTAGGCTTAGTTTGTTGTATAGTCTGTGTTACTGGAGAAGAAACTGCAGCTTTAGGCAAAAAAGAAATTCCAGGGCGTTTTGAAGCCATTTAAAAAAAAGAGAGAGATGAAGAAAAAGAAAAAAGCCACTTCTTATAGTAAAATAAAATAAAGGGGTAATAAAGACAATTCTCCCAAAAAAGTAAAAAAAAGAAACTCTTTAAATAAGCAAAGTCCATTAAATTGTTGAAACTTTGTTACCCAGTAAAAGTGAAAGTCTTCAAACAAAGAAACAAAATTCCTCCGCCATTTCCTTTCACTCCAATCACAAAAATAGTAGCTGAAGAAGACAATATTTCTTCATGAGTTAAAGTTGAAATTCAACCCTGTTCTGTTCTTCCTGAACAGCTCCATCTGCTTTAAAATTTACTTACAGTTCTTCTTATGTAGCAGATGTGGAAGCAGAGTCTGGCTTCGTTCTCCTTCGGAGAACAAAGGCGTCTTGGGATGCGGAGATGATCCAGACTCCGAAGGAGCTCTCACCCTTTGTCTCCCAGAAAATAATCTCTGGGAGACAAGAGGAGCTCAACTTCTATCTAGAGAGAAGCTCATTTTCCTCCCTTTGCCCTGGAAGAAAGTTCCAAACCGCAAAACAGCTGATCATCGCTGTTTGCCAGTTCTTACACGATCCCGAGACGGGCGGCTAAGGAAAAAGCCACCATTGGCGTGGCAAATGCCACCGGAAGTCATATCCAGGCTCTTCTTAAAAGCCTCCAATGATGTAGAAGCCACAACTTCTGAACACTAGCTGTTCCATTGATCTCAGTTCTCTTTGAGGGAATAGCATGATTCCTTCCTTCCTCTGTGCTTTTTCAAATCCTTCTTATTCTACTTATGCAGAATTATTACTTATAGAAAAACCTAGGTTTTATATTAGAACTTCAGAAAAGTAGAATGTTCCTGATTGTTTTTCCTCTTCTATATATGTCAGCCTAACAAGATAAACCAGACAGAAAACATGAGTAGATAAGCTAATTCTATTTTATATATTAAGCTATATTAACTGAAACTTGCAAATCTGAAAATATATCTCTCCCCCATATCTCCTTTACAGCCCAAGAAAGTAATGTCAGCCCTCCCAGTTACACCAGAAACAAAATACAACTAGATGAGCTAACTCTACTTCATTGTAAGGCTACTTTAACAGAATCTTGCAAGTCTGAAAATACAGCTCTCCTGCCATCACTTTTAACAATTTGATTAAGTAGGGCAGTCCTTCCTAAATTCATTTCTCTGACCTTTAAGACAGAGGTCCCCAACCTATGGGCCGCAGCCCACTACCAGGCCATGGTCTCTTGGCCACCGGATCACATGAGTGGCCAGGCATGCACGTGCGCATGCACGCATGCTCACTCCCCCTTGTGCCACCATTGCCACGAGTGTTATGTGGGTGGCGCAGCGCTGCTAGTATCATGTGGGCAGCAGTATTGTCATGAACTTTGCATGGGCGGCGGCAATGCCGTGAATGGCAGGTGTATAGCAGCGCACCACATGCAAGCAGCGGCATTGCCAAAAACCTTGTGTGGGCGGCAGCAGCACCATAAGTGGTAGGCAGACCATGCCGCAAGCCTCACACAGAGGTGGCAGTGCAATCTTCACTGCTGTGAGCCGCGACATGAGCCTCACACAGGGCAGTGGTGCGATACTTGCATCGGTGGTAGCATTGCCACGAGCCTGGTGCCACAAGCCTCACACAGGTGCCAGTGTCACTGAGAGCCTCGCACACATGCTCGCAACCCTGTTTGTGTGGTGTGTATGCTTGTGGCCTGTTTGTGAGCATACGCGCACATGTGGCCACATTCATGTTTGCACATGCATATATAAGGCGCCTGCCCTTCCCTTTCCCACCATGCCGCCAACCCAGAAAGGTTGGGGACCCCTGCTTTAAGGCATTGGGAGCTCCTGTCTAACCACTCTTTTGGCATCATCTCTTCCCCTCATCACTTAAGGACTTTCCTCCATATCATTACAACTAGGGTCTCTTTTGAGCCTCTTGCCTCGCTCACATTCCTGCTATGGATTCAGCTGCCTTTTATCTGACCATTCTCTTAATTGTGTCTCTTTTCTCTATCTCTTAAGGTCATTCCCATATGCCATCAACAATATGAAATTCTGCCATGTACACATTTTTTTTTTAGAAATTGGCCCAATGTATTATCTTTTCTGAGATATTTACAATATGCTGTTCAGAAGTTCTTCAACATCTCTGAAATGTGGTTTATATCTCATCTTCTTTCTAAAGATGAAAGCATTGTGCATAGCTATTTCCCTTAATTTTATTCTACAATAACAATCCTGTGAGATAGATAGGGCTGAATGATAGTGGCAATATCAAGGTCACAGTCCATTTTGTCAATCAATATATGACATTTGTACTCAGATTGGAGGCATTATAACTTTCCTAGCTCCCTCCAAAACTAATTTATTTGCTTCCTATAGAAATTCTATATTTATTACTCTAGTTCAATCACTGAGGCTTATGAATTCTTAAGGGCTTTTAAACTGCTTATCCAGTTGCAAAACATTGGGTCATATTGCTAGCTAAGGAATATATTCTGGGGAATTTAGCAATAGCCCCTTTATACAGTCAAAGGAGATTGATTGTATTGGATGAGCTGTTGTTTTCAGGACATTTTCAACCTCCATAAATTGTTTTGGGAATTTGAGAAGAATATAACTTCTATCACATCCTTTAACACAATAAAGTAATATTTATAATCATATTTAAAAATACAATTATTCTTTATAACCACAAACAATATATAGTTGTTTATGTTATTTATAACCAAAAATGTATAATATGCTGTACCCCTTAATATACTGTATATTGTATATTTCAGTACAATATGTATTCCATTTTTGAAGACTTTTTCAGATGACAACAATGAATTGCAGCCCCATTCAGCTTGCTAAAATTTCATATAGAGGGCTTTTGATACAATTGTTGCAAAAAGTTAATTTGTAAGATACTGCAGGGGTCCCCTATCCCCGGTCCATGGACCAATACCAGGCTGCGGCATGCCAGCAACTGGCCCGCACAAACAAGCAAAGCTCCATCCGCGGGATGCAGGCAGCATACAAAACCACACAGCCTCCTGTCCGCAGAAAAACGTCACTCCATGGAACCGGTCCCTGGTGCCCAAAAGTTTGGGGACTTCTGAGATACTGCATTGTTTGTGGTACAGTGCTAATGAGAAGATAAAATTAAGTAAGGAGACCTAAATGCTGGTTGCTTTTGCTTCTATAACAAAGAGATAAATAAACAGAGATAAATTCTATGTATCCTGGAGATTTTATTCAGGGTGGGAATTGGGAAACTTGTATTTTCTCAATTTTGGCAAAATTGGGTCTCCTTAGCACGCAAGGCCAGAATTAACCAATGTGATAAGCTCATCTATGGGAGGATGTGGTATGTGGTATCTTTATCTTTTTATGGCCATGTAGGTTGAAAGGCAGGTGGACAGGGAATCCAGTAACTGGGGAGCTTTAACATCTGGGAAAAGCAAGATGGAAGAATCACATGCTATATATTACACACTGCCAACATGATGCAGCGAGGGACAAGGGCATTTGTGAATCAGAAAGAAAATATAGCACCAAAATATAGCACTTGGGTAGCTGCTGGTAAAAATGGCATGTGTATTCAGCTCATTTTGCAACTATCTGTATCATTCTTAGAAGGATGTCACATAAACTAATATTACAATTTTAAAGAGTCATGGCACCATAGTGCCTGAGAACTTTGCAAAACTCTGCTGCCCAGAGTCTTTGGATATGAGATGGGTAGCAAATAAATTTTCTAAATTAATTAAAGCAATAAATAAAACTCTACAAACAAAGACCAGCTGCTAATTTTGTTGTGCATTTTACAGGAGACACTGATAGACTGGTGTGATGAAAAAGAGCTCAACTTGATTTTAACAACTGGAGGAACAGGATTTGCACCAAGAGATGTCACACCAGAGGTGAGATAGTTCATTTTCCTTTTTTAAACTATTAACATTTCTCAAACACTAATATTGTTTGTATATATAGTGCTTCAGAAGTTGCATATTTGATGTAATATGAATATTCTGTTTCTTAAAGAAATAAAAATACCTTTATTAAACAACTGACAAACATAGAATTTATTTTACTTGACTACATCAAGAGGTTTGTGTTTTATCTCTTGGCTACTTTGCAATGTTCCTATTTATCTTTTGTAACACATACCCTTAATTCAGACATGGAAAATTTTCTTTGGTAGTGAATTTCAGGGTAGAAAATATTGCAAATCCTTAAGGCAAATCAAATCAAACATCTTATTACAATCTTTTACCAACCTATACAGTAAAAGAAAAAGGTAATTTAATACAGATGCAGTGAACATGAATTTGGGCAAACTCTGGGAGACTGGAGGACAGGAGCACCTGGAGTGCTGTGGTCCATGGATATAAGAAGAATCAGACATAATTGAGCAACTGAATAATAACAACAATTTAATACAACAATATGTTATTAGGTGGGGAACAGGGACAATGAGGCAATAAACCAACATATATAATTAAATGTTTTGCATAATTGTATAATTTTGTGAAAGTATTTGACACCTTGTATCTGAAATTAGAATTAGTATCTCTTAAAAAGTAATGCATTTAAAATTTATCAGTATGACCCTCAAATTTAGAGAATATTGGAAAGATTAGAGTATGTCTTGGGGCATCATAAACAGGACACTGTTATCTTTGTGGCAAGTTCATTATTTTCCTATTTGTGGTCTTAATTTGGTCAGTACTGTTCACTCTATTTTTGCAATCTCTGCTCTCATATCAGACTATTATTGTTTAGAAATATTTATGATATGGTGATCAACTGCTCCTTTCATTTGAGATATTTGGCACAGTCAATAAATCAGTATTTCTTATGTATATTACATTCAAGATGTATATTCTGAAAATAAAAGACAGAATTTCTATATATTTAGAGATCTTTAGATCAAATGATTTTTGTGATAGTTTTCTCCAGTGATATAATTTTAGATTTATTCAAAATCTCAAGAGTAAGAGAATAATGCTCTTGCTACCACCACAGCTCTTATAATATACATAATAAAAAATTGATTAGGCTTAAAGATATCACAAAATTGTCTTTATTATTTAAACTGAAATGTTGGTTAACTTAAGTTTGATGTTTTGTTGAATTTGGAGATTTTAGTTATTGATTTTATAATAATTATAAACTACTTAGAGTCTCTGGAACGCAACAGCATACGTATGTATGTGTGTATGTATGTATGAATGAATGAATTTAACACACACCAAAATTTAAATGCAATATTTACAATGCTGAAAATAATATCAAAGGTAAAATAGAAGAGAAATTTGATAATTTTCAGTTTTTTATTTTACTTTTTCCAAATCAATATTCTTTCCACAAAAAGATGGAATCAAAGGACTACAGGTGAAGGAAGGAGTTAAAGTAGCATATTGAAGGAATGAATAAAAGGAAATGTCCTTTGTTAAGAAATGTTTTAAAATACCAGGACTGTAAACATAGTTAATAAAAGGCTGAACTGATATCTTTTAAGTAAATGTTCTTTATTTTTCCTTAAAGCAAGTTTTAATTGGTTAATTAGGTTGATCATTTTATCTTTACTTTTCAAATTGCCTTTTTCTTTTTTTGCTTTTATTAATAAATGTATTATTTAAACAATTTTTAAAAGTATATATATTGAATATCAAGAAATATTAACGGGTTATTTTATTGAATTTGATGCAGATAATTGGATAATCATATTTATTCTCTGATTTTTTTTTAAGTGCTTAAATTATTATTCCCAGTACCCCACAGGTTGAACTAGTCTGTTCAGGTATTACATGGGTTAAGCAAGGTTAAGCAAACTCAGAGAAACTGTTCTTCCTTCTTTAGAGGGCTTCCTTAACCTCCTGGGCAGCCACACTAGTAATAAATTTAGTAACATCACAATTATTACTTACATCATGCTCAATGTTTTCCAAAAGCTTTACCTGAAGGTTTAGTTGCAACATTTTCCAAGACATGTCCATTTTTAGCCGTGAGATTAATCTAGCAATCCACTTCTGTCTTCTCCAGTGCTTCTTCCCTTTCTGGAGAGCTATCTAATTCTATGAGCATGAAAAAAACATTTGAAATAATATTTCTGAATACTCTAATACAGTAGTAATCGGACATACAGAAAAAAGATATGTTCTTCATTTTTCATCCAGAAGTCTAAACATGTGCAAGAGAATCAAATTCAATTTAAGTTTCAGATGTGAAGACCTAGCCTCTGTTCTCTCATCTAAGATGGTTTCCAGAACCAAAGTGCTGGTTTGGATAAAAAAATCTTACACCCCTCTCTGATGATACTTCTTAACATAAAAGCCAACATGGGTTTGTCAAAAATAGATCATGCCAGACAAATCTTATTGCATTCTTTGACCAAGTGACAAAATTAGTGGATCAGAGGAATGCTGTGGACATAATTTACTTGGACTTCAGTAAGGCATTTGATAAAGTAGATCACAACCTACTACTTGACAAGATAGAAAAATGTGGGGTAGACAGAACCACCACCAGATGGATCCGTAGCTGGCTGACCGGCCGTACTCAGCGAGTGGTCCTCAATGGAACTGCATCTATATGGAGGGAAGTGTGTAGTGGGGTGCCCCAGGGCTCTGTTCTGGGCCCAGTACTCTTCAACATCTTCATCAACGATTTGGATGAAGGGATAGATGGGGAACTCATCAAATTTGCAGACGACACCAAGCTGGCAGGAATAGCCAACACTCCAGAAGACAGGCTTCAGATACAGAAGGATCTGGACAGACTTGAACACTGGGCACTAACTAACAAAATGAAATTCAATGGTGAAAAAAGCAAGGTTCTACATTTAGGCAAGAAAAACCAAATGCACAAGTACAGCATAGGTGGCACCATGCTCAATAGTAGTAACTGTGAGAGGGACCTCGGAGTCCTAGTAGACAATCACTTAAATATGAGCCAGCAGTGTGCTGCAGCTGCCAAAAAGGCCAACACAGTGCTAGGCTGCATTAACAGAGGGATAGAATCAAGATCACGTGAAGTATTAATACCACTCTTCAATGCCTTGGTAAGGCCACACTTGGAATACTGCATCCAGTTTTGGTCACCACGATGTAAAAAAGATGTTGAGACTCTAGAAAGAGTACAGAGAAGAGCAACAAAGATGATTAGGGGACTGGAGGCTAAAACATATAAGGAACGGTTGCGAGAATTGGGTATGTCTAGTTTAACGAAGAGAAGGACAAGGGGGGACATGATAGCAGTATTCCAATATCTCAGGGGCTGCCATAAAGAAGAGGGAATTAAGCTATTTTCCAAAGCACCTGAAGGCAGGACAAGAAGCAACGGGTGGAAACTAATCAAGGAGAGAAGCAACCTAGAACTAAGGAGAAACTTCCTGACAGTGAGAACAATTAATCAGTGGAACAGCTTGCCTCCAGAAGCAGTAAATGCTCCAACACTGGAAGTTTTTAAGAAGAGACTGGACAGCCATTTGTCCGAAATGGTGTAGGGTTTCCTGCCCGAGCAGGGGGTTGGACTAGATGACCTCCAAGGTCCCTTCCAACTTTACTACTATTACTATTACTATATATGATACTTCGGTTTTGTTTTTGTTTGCCAAGATGTTAACTGACTGGTGTTCTTATCATAATTTCAAAGTATCCGAATCACATTCCTTCTGGATTTTTGCACTAGACCTCCACAATACTCTACAACACAATAACTATATATATTTCCCTGCTGACTCTGAATTATGGCAAGTTTTTGAAACTTCTCTACCACCTCACAAAACCTTGTGAATATTCTCTACCTTATGATTCAGATTCAAGTAATTATTACTTTGACTCTTCCACCAAGTTTTCAGACAAACTTTCCCTTATGACATAATCAGACAGTGGAAGACCAGTTATTTTCTCTATATGAAGATACTGTCGCTACAATTTGCAGAGATTAGATCTTGAAGCTCACAGTGGAAGATAATCAGTACACAAGTCAATATGCCTCCATCATATCAACTCCAGCTCTTAAGATCCAGTAGCCATGTCAAAATTATCAGCTTTCTTCCAGTTTTACATACCTCAAAAATAGTATGTGTCAAATCCATCTTGTTGATAAGAAATCCTATTGACGATATCATACAGGATGAGTGCATCACCTGTACTGCCCCCCATTTTAACAACTTATAATTTTAAATTATCTATTTTAGAAAAGATATTCTTTCTCTTGAATATACAATATAGATATTTTCCTTCAAGCAAAGAGGTTATCTGCAATAAATTTAATATATTTACCCATAGAGATTACAATTCCTTTTCTCCTTCTGATCATCTTCAGCATCATCTGTATCAGATATTTTTTTCATCACAAAATCTAGGGATAATCTACAGCAGACTCTATAGCAGCTCATGCAGTACTGGGCACTTCTCAGTTTGCCCATGTTACACTATAATTGCACAAACTGCATTAATTCCCAGTTTCTTTCCATGTGCAATTCAAGGTGCTGGTTATTAACTTTAAAGTCCTATAAGGTATGGAGCCAGGTTTTCTGGGGGATTATATCTGCAGATGCAAGTAGATTGGACAGAGTAGGCACTGAACAGGTGTCTTCCTTCAAATGTTGTCAGCTAGTAGGACCTAGGAAGGCCTTTTCTTTAGCAGCCTCTGCCCAATGGAACACCCTTCCCCTTGATATCCAGGAGATCCTTACCCTCTTAGTTTTAGAGAAAGCTGTTAAGAGCTGGCTTTTCCCCCAGGCACTGAAATAGCAAGGCTGGAGCCTGGAAACTGTATGGTTGGATAGATATTGTTGATTTGGCAACAATATTTCTTGTTTGTTGGATTGTTTTATTTTTCTGTTTTTATTATAGCTGTTAATTGCCTTGAGTCATGTCTTACAAGATGGGCAGCCATAAATCTTTTACAT